GTAACCCGAAATTATACTATTCTATAGCCTATTCTTAATTTCTCTAAAACCTTTCTTTCAAGATTCGTTGCATAAATAAAGAATTTTAGTATATTTTGGCCAATTAGTGACAGTATTTTAATGACTGAAAATGTATTAAACTTTGGACGAAAACAACTATAAAAAATTGAAGTATTTCTCGAAAAATAAAACAGAAAACAAATTAATTAATAAAACATTTATTGATCTGTGACTTGCAACGTTTACGTCATTGTAAAAATGAAAAAAAATATGTGTAATTTCATGACTGTCAGAAATTTTATATGATGAAAATGTTATTACATTTTCATCAAAAATCAATCAATTTTCAATTATATATAATTCTAAAAATAATGTTTTTTTTTAAACTTATATCAAAATAAAATAATTATTTGTATTATATTTTGTACCGGAAAACATGTACAAATATACATATGTACCGTATACTAAATATGGAAATACCAGCAAACGTAGATCATTCGAGGAATGTCACCATTTCTTTATAACTTGTAAATTTCCAAGTTCAACTGCAAACATGACATTTATAAATGATGCTAATAGTGTTAATAAGAGCATTAATTGTTTTTATTTTTAGCAACATTTTCTTTCTATTATTGTTCATAAATTCGTTCGAAATAAATAATTGTTACTGTTATAATGAAATATTTTTTTCTTTTAAATATATAGACTTTCTATGACATTGGATAGAAAATGTCTGCTAAAACATGATGAAGCTATATCAAATTTCACCGAATGACTAGATTGTGAAGGTTATTTCTTAAAGAAACGTATTTTGTCAATAAAGCAAATTTTTCAACGACAAAAAGTACAGAAATTGCAATATTTCATTATTTCAATTTAACTTCGTATTCATTTACATTAATCATGTAAAGTTTTTAGATGTGTCTAAAGGTACTTATTACCTAGTACGTTGTTGCGAAGAAACACATATTTACCATAAAACGTAATTACAGATTTGGTTAATTACATAGAAATATATTACTTTTGATTAATTCGCTTATCGTACATCTAGTATATAATGGAATTTGTATGTTTGTATAAACGTCGAGTACGTTACTGTGGACGAATAGACACATTTAACAAAAAAATCGTAATTTATTTGAAAAAATTATTTTTAGGAGTAAAATTATTTTGTTTGGAAATTACTCATTGTGTTTGCATTGTTGTTATCATTACTTACGGCTGCTTCCTATAAGCATGTAATATTTTATGACAACATATCTATTATTATATTAATCTATAGATTTATGTTATACTGTCCACTTAGACAAACTGTTCCACATACTTCAATCGAAATCTTGTTATTATTGGAATATAATCAAGAATATTATTATCGTTTGAATATACCGAAATACATTGACAATCTATGTTTATACCGGGTGTCCCAAAAAAAACATCAAAGGAAATTCTTACATAACTATAATAATTCCGGTTCCACGGTAGCGATTTCAGTTTGAAAAAAAAAAAACAAAACTGGTATCATTATATAATAGTAGCGTTAATTCAAAAAAAAAATAGAAGCCAGTGAACGTAATTTTCCGGTCAACCGGGTTCAAGAGTAAAGATCAAAAAACTTACAAGTAATTCCGAAACTATAAACATTTTACATAATGAAACATGAGTTTATAATATATAAAAATTTAATAAACTGGAAATTATTATTTTCATTTAGATTGTGTAAAATTCGTTGGTTTTCTTATCAACAAAAGTTTGTGTATAAAGCATAGTTTTAGATGAGGGCCCCAAACAGTACTATACGAGGGCCCCTAAACAAAGTTAATCGAAAGTTCCCCAAAGTTAATATTTGTATTTCATGTTACTCATAACGTGTATTATATAACTACAGATAAAAAATAACTGCTGAAATGTAGAATGTTTTATAATAAATATAAATGTAATAAATAGTTGTGTAACAATTGTTGCAGAAAACTGGAATGCTCTTGTTGCAACTCATTTTAAGGTCGAAATATTAAAATGTCAGAAAGCTGTTACCCAATCTGCAAGTTGCATAATTAAAAAAAATAATAATAATATATGAAAATTACTTCCCTTTTGCAAACACAATTATGCAATAAATAAACCAGTTTTCACTTCATCATTTTTACGATTCTGTATTACAAATTGCATCAAATATTAATCCTGAATCAACATCGTTTTATCGATTTTACAATTAGTAACTAATGAACTGTAATTTGATTAAAACAATGAAAGTATTAACACGTGTTATTTTTCTTCTTGAATTGAAATAAAATGTATGTAAATACATAAAAACTTATCTTGTTTTTTTTTTGTTTGTGATTAAACAATAATTAGTAGTTACGATGAACAATGACTCTAAAATAAAACGTTAGTATAATTATAGATTGAATGAAATAATAAAATTATTTTATTACAGAAGTTTTAGCATGGAAACGATAGTATTTAACGTCACAACGAAAATATATGTGTTTGTTAGGAGCACTTTGAAGTTTCAACATTTATCAACGAGTTTTGATTAATTGGCTATGAACAGAGTGAATAACAAACCTCTGCATTCTGGCATAACAACTATTTTAATTATGTAACAATTAAAAGATGTATTTGTTATATGGAAATAGAATTGGTATACGTTTAATTAGTACTGATGCAATTAAAATAATTTCAAATTGAATGCGCTTAATGTTAAAATAGTAACATTTCATTAAAACAGGTATTGATTTCTCGGAAAAGCATTTTTTTTATTATTATTTATTAGCGAACTGTGGTCCGGTGCAATCAATTAAATAATATATATATAAAAAAACTCAAGTAATTAACTGAAAGCATTTATTGATCCATGCTGGAAATAGAATCTTTGTTAGTAAGTATAGTAGAACCTCGCTTAACCAACATAATTTGTTCGAAAATTTATGGATTTTTACTCGTATAGTGAAAAAAGTTTTCCCATATAAACTAAACATTTTTCTTACAATTTATTTTACTCGTTAAGACAAATTCTCGTTAAAGCGAGATTCCACTGTATTTCAATATTGATAAACTGTACTTTTCGCATGTTTTTACATAGAAAAAATTTCTTTTCTGAAAATCCTCACAATAAATTTGTGTGGGTCTTATGGTCTGAAAAGTAGGTAATTAATGTTTGCAGGATGAAAATTCTATTGGATTTATTTGATTTTGTTGAATGAAAATTTAATTTGTTTTCAAGTCTATGACGCACTTTGTTAGGTATTGCTATATATGGATAGATGTGTTTTTTTCTCAAAGTCCGAATCAAATTTAGTTCACGTCGATCATCAGATTATTAAAAGTAATAAATTTCTTTTGCTGCTGCAAATTCGCATGACTTTCTCCGTTTTAAAAAAAATAAATAAGATCAAAATCAGAAATGGAATAGAAATTCAAAAGTTACGAAGAATTCTATTTTTCCTTCATTCTTATTCTATCGTTTGCCGTCCGTCGCATTCATGAAAATAGCACGTTCAGAGAAAAATACACGAGCTGCATTCTTCTCTCTTTTTTTTTCTATCACAAAAACGCTTACGAAAATAAAAATGTGCTAAGTGCCAAAAAAAAAATTGAAATTATGTTACTTCATTCTTGTTTTCTTACAGATGTCGTGACAAATCGGAGCTGGTTGCAAACTTTAAAGTTCTTTAGCAATGGGATAATTTAAATGCAATGAATTACTCTCAACTAACTGAATTCATTGGTCTTGAATGGAAGTAGGTTAGATGTAAAATGATATTTATCTGTGTTTTTTTCTTAATTAGTAATATCAATAGCGGTTAACGATTCATAGGCGTCTCGGAGGAGATGATATCTCGTTATCTATGAGCGATCCAATTGGAGCAAAGCTGTTATGTCATTTGGATGAATTACAGCAGCGTAAAACACGATACATAATCATATAACACGATGCATATTCACGTAACACGGTATATGTTGTGGGAAGTACCAAATTCATTTCATTGCTAATTGGTTTAAAATCATATAGCTGTTGTAGTTCATTAGTCAATTTCAATATCCATATTTTAATGTATGAATCTTTACCAAATTGCTAATTGGTATAAAACTATATAGCAGTTGTATTTTTAATATTTAACCTAGTGGTCGGCAACAAGCGGCTCTTTCAATAAAAAAAATAGGCTCTTAGTACCCACTTTGCGTTAGGAAAAGCTACATGCGGCTTCCTAGTCTTTTTTTTTAACAGACACATTAAAACTGTCTCTTTGCACCAAAAAGGTTGTCATATAGCGTCATATTTTAATGTATCAATATTTTCCTAGAAATATCAGATAAAATGATTTTCCACAAAAAAACATAATACTTATAGTATATAGAATATGTTTAATTACACTAGATTTTTTAGCTACCAATTTCTAGGAATTCCAGTATCATTAGGGCTCAGACAATGCGGTTGTTAGGTTCCATGGAAAATTTGCGTCATTCGAAACTGAAATTTCGTGGAAAATGGAGGGTTCCGAAATCGTTTATTTTAATGATACAAACAGTTTTGATTCGCCCAGCAAAAATATTTCCGGGTAGAAAACAAAGATTATTTTTTAATAATACACACCTTTTTTAATGATGCGTACAAAATGTTAATGTGGATTATATAAGTTTGTATTAATTTGTAATAAGTATTGTGTTATATTAGTATTACCTGTATTAAGTTTGTCATGGATTGGAAAGAATACAGCAGCTAAACGGAAATTTGTGTTAGATTAGGTGCCGTTATCTGTAGATTACATCTGATGAGGTGTAATAGTATCGGCCTTAAAAATAACACCTAGTGTTCGTATAGTATGTATTTCGTTGTTCGCTCGGCCTAAATTTAAATGGCAAGTATCGATTTAATTTATTCGCTTGGTCCAGTTCCAAGAGGGACGAACTAAAAGCGACGGGGGAACAAGAGAAGCCAGGAACAGAACAACAACGGTGAGCGATGCCGGTCGCATTTTAACATTTTCTTTTCAACTCACGTCTGCAATTATGCCCATCCCCGGTCGGCGGTCTTGCATTTCCGGTTCCCTCGGATTGTTCTTGGATTCTCGATGGGAAATAGCCCCAGCCTCCAACCACCAGCACAGGTAACCACTAAATACCGCGTCAACAAAGATTAGCCTGTATCTATGGACTGATAAGGATTATCTTTGGTTGCTTCGATGCGTGCCGACGAGCACATGCATGCACCTTGTTCCTTTTCTTCTTCCCCGCATCCTCGAAACGCATAGCATCTAAAGAAAGAAGAACCATATGCATGTTAATGTTCATATTCATGTGCATATGCATGCACGTAGGAATCCTGCTCGAGTCCCGAATGTGCATAGGTGTACATGATACAAGCATACAATTTCCATTCTAAAACCTCGTTTTTACGTGACATCCGAGACGTTGCTTTCGAAACGCGCCGTTTCAATTAACACGTTGTCGCCGAAAACCGTTCCGAGAAGGAAAAGAACGAACGACCGGGAATATGTATATATACATATACAAAAACGTATCTCTATATTTATGTCTACATGAATAAAAAGCGGAACCGGACTGGGAATTTGAATATCGGATGCGGGATTTACTTCCGGTGAAACTAAATAGACGGGGCCACTCGTAAAAATCTAGTTATCCTCAGTTGACTGCATGACCTTTTTCTGCCGGACTTCATAAATCCGATATTGACGTCTAACTAATATGGGATTTAAGAATTGAAATTTGCTGATTCTGACAAACTGCAGATTGCCCGTTATCCTTGACGACAGGTCTTCTTCCTCTGGATTACCTACCGCCAGCGAACAGGACTAATTGCCTGGATCATTACGTAAACGGTGTTCCGTGCAAGTTCGCGAATCACCTTGAGCCACTTTTCTTGGCAACAGGAATCCCCCAATAGTGGATCGGACAAATATTTGTTGAAACAATAGTGCAAAAATAAAAAAAACAAAGACTACGTCACGAGGTGCAGATCGCGGATCGACGATAATCAGAATCCTTTCGCTGTTAGTTTGAGTCTCCAGTACTTTTCCATCCATTAAGAACCCTTCACGCTTCTAATTTGAACAATTCCTTCTTTTGTTAATTGATACTATTTCATTGATTCAAACAAATAAACCCAACTCGCCCTCTCTTATCGAATACCAGTATTCCGATACCGAACATCTAAGCCGCCTGTAGTCTTACGTTATATTACCTCGACACCTCCACGATGCGATGGTTGCATAACCATTATGTAAATCTTTTTACAATTAGGAAATCCTTTAATTATATTGCTATCCATATCACAAAATCCAATACGAAATTAATTGTTATAAAAACTGCTTGTATCTTATTCAGTGGTTATGGATTTACATAACCATTTACATGACATACTTTATTGGAAGAGAGTAGTATCACAAAATCTAACATGGTATTATTATTAGTGATAGTAAATAGAAAATCCAATATCGAAATGTCGGTTAATTTGGAACAGAATTAGGGCAAAATATTTTAAATCTCTTTAAGAATTTATTTAAAAAAAAATGTATAAATAAAGTAATTATTGTAAATATATTTTTATATTGTATTAAATTTGACTAACGTGATTGAAACTAATTAATGAGGAATTATTTAAGTTGCTTTTGAAAAAAATTATATAATTATTCAATAAAATAAGTTTAATTACCAAATTAAATGTTTTCTTTATTTTTCTTTAAATTATGTAATCTAATTTCTTTTGATGAGCTATAAATAAATCACAAGTATCGTTAATGTGTCTGGTATTATTAATATGAAAACTTACTTGGTTCTTATAGTTATGGTCTTAATATATCTAATAATTACGTTATGTAATTAATATACATTCATTTTATGCAACTTTAGATTTTAAGTGCCGCACATTTAAGTTACACATGTGTTTTTATGGATGCATTTGTTTTTTCATGCGTGATTTTTTTTCCAGTCGCATTTGGTATCAATTACTTTCATTATTTTAACGAATATGTGCGAGGGCACATTTCCCAGTATTCAGTAATTCGTTGTTTGACGTATATTAATAACGTGTGATGCTCTTGTTGGAAATACCCTAAAAGCTCTATTGATTTTCTCTTACGGTATGAATGTTTTCTATCATTACTGCAACATTTAACGGACAGTTTGAAAGAATTTTTATCAGTTATAATTAAAAATAATAGTAGAAAAAAAATGTATATAAAGAGTAATTAAATTGTTTTAATTTCATTTACTAATAAAATATATTTGTAAATATTGTTATTTATAATCTCTGTTATACGCTCCACAAGTGGTAATGTGGAATTGTTCGAGTCGATAATCCCACTAGCACAGAATCGGAATATACTCTACCAATTCTAGCTTAAAACCGCAAATATGAACATATGAATTCTCGGAGAATAAAAATAATAAATTCAAGTGAATTTTATTTACAATAACTTTTAAATGAATCAATTAATTTAAGTATTTTGGCGTAACGAAATGACGAAATGACTTAAACATATGTAAAAAGACGCATTATATATATATAACTAATTAAATAAAAATCACTGTTACAAATACCATTTTATTTTATTAAGTTCATTTATTAACCGAAAGCTTTTGTAGTTTAGCACATATATTCGTCCTTAGTAAGGACCTAAAGGACTTGGGCTGTAATAACTTTTTTTTCAGTAATTTTATGTATAAATTCACATTCCCCTCTAATTTTCTCCTTATATTTTTTTAAATTACTTGAAATTAATTAATAATTTATTTAATTATCATTTATATTTTAGTTATAAATATATTGTATGAAGAATATAATACGTGGGAAAACATTGAATGCACCATGAATTGTTCAGAAGCGATTTTTGGTCGAGCTGTTGTCCTAGAGCTAAGGGAATTGACCGGAAGCGGAAAAGGACCGCGTGTAATCTCCCGTACTCGACAAGGTACTAAATGATAGTTGAGACACAGCGCTTTATCTTCTGTAGAAATAGAGATCAGATGAAACTCTACTTACTTTGCTGTTCCTTTTACAAACTTTGTCCCTTTTATAATAATTCATCTTTTTTAAATGCTGTCCTATAAGTAAAATAATATTTTGTATCATGGATATATAAAACTATGTTTTTTATGTATTTTTTTCTACAATGAATATGATTTGAAATGGAAATGGATTGAAAAAGAGTAATGATGAAATCGGTCTGTAGGTATTTAGAGGAAGATTGTAAGCAGGCTGTGGCTGGAGGATTGAACCGCAGGAACAGCCACAGCCGCTGCCGCCTTACAGGTGAAAGGAAGCGGCAGGGGGAGGCGGTCGACGTCGGTAAGGTTGGCGGTTGGCTGGTTTTCAGTTTGTTGTATATAGTATTATCTTTGTGTTTGTCCCCGGAGAGTTTGGGTATTTAATGGTAAAAGGAGGCAAACGTAGCGGTTCTGTCAGGTGAAGTTTCTATATGATTCCTAATTGGTAGCGGAGTATCGTCTATAGAGCGGCGGTCCGTGCGGTCATTCAAGAAGCTGACTTAGATGGAATTAATGTCTTTGCGTCAATACACGTCTTTAAGGTTGCCAAAGTGGAAAGCGAGCTTTCAACTAATTATAACCGGGGGAAGTCCAAAATCACGGGGCTCGTTCAATTAGGGCGGCAGGGGTTTCTGGCCACGAGCCGCGAACAGAAGTAAAGCATAAAATTACCACTAATGGCCAATTACACGTGCCCGGACGACGATCCTTCGGTCAGGTGTCCTTTCCATCAAATTAATCTTTTCCAGGATCTCCGGTCTCTGAGCGCCGCGTGCTAACGCCTGCTAACCTGTTGCTCTCCTCGGCTCATCCAAATTTAAAACGCACCCTCCTAACCCATCCCCATCCCAATCTACATCCCCTACAGCTTTCATGCTCGCTCAACTGAACAGCCCATCCTGTTTCAATAGCATCATCAAAAGATCTGTATACACATACAAACGGAACTCCATAAACACACTTACTTTTTTTTTTGTAACTGGGTAAGAATTTAAAAAAAAATGTGCAGGAAAGAAACTAATCGGGTGTATAAAGTGGGTAACAGTTAGTTAAGGGGGTATAAATTAGAGCGTGCTCGATATATAAATAAATTAGGGGATGGCCGCGGTACGAGCCGGCCTCGTAAAGTTTCCCCCCTTCGAGCTAATTACAATCTAACAAGAATTTATAGAAACATCTTAAGTACTGGGTGTCTCATAAATCGATTTAAGGCGTCTTGGAGTTGTAAGAGGTAGTCAGCTACCGATAATCCGGACATCGCATAAATATGATCAAGTGTGAAGCCCGGGCCGTAAGCAGTAAGCCCGGCTTATAGTTTGCCTCGTCCCCGGTGAGCAGCTGAGACGACAGACGCGCGCGAAAAACGATCTCCTTCCTCGAAACTTTCCCTAAAACACTAAGCGCCCTTTATTGATTCGAACTTCACGCGTGCATACTTATTATTACCCTTCGCCGCAGTCGTGGGGTCCCAACAAAACTAACCCTCATCTGCTTCTCGGATCTTCGCTCCACCATCCATCCGCATAATTTCCATAGTCCCAATTTCACCGCGAGATCATTTAATAACCTCATTCTATTTTCAGTTAGTGATAACGCTGCATATTAAATACAATTCATGCAAAGCCAAAATTTGACAACATGATATATAGAACATTGCGCATTTCTTGGATATCCTTGAACTACCAGTATGTATGTATGAGTTTACAAATATAAAATTATTAAAAAAAAACTGGTTCAAAAACCATTTTGTTTTATAATTCTAAAAGTAGTTAATTGATGTATTATTTATTAGAAATCGATAATAGTGCAATTAATTATAATTAATTCGGCTTGAACCTAATCCTATTATATAGGACTACAGTACAATGAAAGTTTATATGTTAATTCTAATTGTAATCAATACAACAGTAATTCAATTAGAAACATATAATAATAAACAAAACTTTCTATTTTTTTTACCTATTAAAACATTTATAACAAAATTAATCTATTATATAAAGTATTCTGAAAATGATGTAGATTTTTTTATGTCTTCACACATATTTATTCATGGCATAGTAAAAGCTACGTTTATCTTGAATAGTCTTCACTGTTATTTGAACAGAAGGCAGAGGAGCAGAG